GGCCAGAGGCGGCCGCCTTTGTCTTCAGTGATGTCACTGAACCGGGGCCACAGCATTTAATAGGTAAGCGCCAAGATATACTTAAAGAAGAGCTAGAAAAGGGCGTCTGGAGCCCTGGGCTGCTCTCATTTGGAGATGTGAAGGCAGGACGCGGGGAGGATTTGTGGGCAGAGGGCAGTGTCCGCTGGGGAAACTGACCACGGTCAAGGCTTCTTTGTGTGAAGAGCTGGCTTCAACGCCTCCTACCTGAATGGAGGCAGTTCCTCCATTTTCAGACAAACATACAGTGTTAGGTGTAAGACACCGGCTTTTTCATATTTTATTTTGTAAATTTTGCATGCATCCGGCAATTAGGAGTTGGTGATGTATATGTTTGATGTGGTTGTTTTTCTTTTAATTTCCTGTAAAACTGTCTGTAATTGATCATGTATTTGATGGCATCTTGGAATCAAGAAAATAAGGTATTTTATTATATGTACAGTAAGAGCAAACAATACAATATATAAATCAGTAGATACTTTGTGTCCTAATATGTTGACAATCAGCTTTTTGTCAAGATACCTCTGAATTCACTTTTTTAAAAGGAAAAAAAGGACAAGAAAGGCAATTTAAAGAAAAAAACCTTCAGGCTGTGCATATATTAATAATTAAGATAGGGTGCTTATTAAATGCTGGGCAAGATCACAGGGCCAAGTTTTCTGATACTCCCATAGACCTTTGTTACAGCTAAAACTGAAGCAGCAAAATGCAACAGAAATAGAAACCAAAGCAAAATTTTCCTTTTTTTTTTTTTCCTTTCAAAGCAAGACTAGCTCTGGGACCACGTGGGTTATAGAGTGCAAAAATCAAGACAGGGCGGGTTCTTAAAAACTCGCTGTTAACTGCTAGGAGCAGAAGGCGGTGAGAAGCCATGTTTGAAGCCAGCTTAACACAAAGAAAAGGAAAATTACCGTGCACTTAGACACAGGTAATTCCAGACACTGTCAGTGACGTCCCAAATCATCACCCCCATGCCCAGTGGCAGCACTGCAGGGTGCCGGGGGTCCTTAGCAGGCAGCTCTCTGGAAGGAGGGGAGTCTTAAAGCACTGGCTCCCCACCTTCATTTCAATCCACTCAAAAAGAATCTGCATGAAGGAATCAGTCCCACTCCCTTCTCTCCAAGTGTTAGACAATTTGAGTCTGACCAAAGAGAACTAAAACCAAAGACTGTACTTGTAATCTGTCTTCCCTGAGAATATATATATGTATGTATGTATATATATATATATATTTTTTTTTTTTTTTTTGCAGTTTTTTGCTGGGGCTAGGTTTGAACCCACCACCTCCAGCATATGGGGCTGGTGCCCTACTCCTTTGAGCCACAGGCGCCACCCCCTTAAGAATATTCTAATGATCTGACTGAAGAGGACTTTGATCTGAGGCATGACAAGGCCCTGTGTGAAGCTGCCTCACACATACTCAGTGGGTAGTGTTCAGCTATACTTTCTAGAAAAACAATCTGTAGTCCTTAAAAGGGGACAGGGCTATGACTTTCCATCTAGTTTAGACTACTTACTATTGTTGTTTAAGAAAGATTTAGGAACTTGTTAGGGAGAAAAGTGTAACCCATGGTCTTTAAACTTCATGGATCAAAATTCACTTAAGTAGGTATTCCAGACAGAGACCAGAATACATCCCATTCCTCCTCTCATGGTAAAAAAAAAAAAAAAAAAGTCTACTCCAGTCAGTTTATCTTTTAAGGCTACTTACAATCTTACAATCTTTGCTAAGATCTCTGAAGATACAACCTCTCTGAGCTGTGGTCCCCTATGATCACATGAAGTAGTTGGTAGACTGGAGGAAAGGAAAGAAGTCTCTTCCTTCCACTTTGCTATCGATTAATATAATTTCTAAAGGGTAAAACCTTGGTGTAGGTTATAGGGAATGCCCTAGAGCCAGGCCTTCTGGGAGCCAAGGAAGCAGCAGCCTTCTCCAGGATTTGGGATGTGGTCAGCTCACCCGATGAGCGTGAGGAATTGGGAGCAGGCTTATCGTCCGCTGTCCTGCCATGAAACTCTTCCTACCTCAGTGCAAATGTCAAAAGCTGGCTGGTTAAACAAAAAGAGGAAACTTATTTGCTCTTTCATATGCCAGGAAGTTTATGTTGAGCATTTAATTTAAAAATTTCAAATCCCAAACTTTTTGAGCACCAGCACAACCCCACGAGTGAGGAGTACCACAGCTGACCTCATGTTATGGATTATGGTCAAAATGCAGTCAAAATTTTGTTTTATGCACAAAAGTATTAAAAATATTGCATAAAATTACCATTAGGTAATGTGTATAAGGTATATATGGACCATAAATAAATTTCATGTTTAGATTTAGGTCTTATCCCCCAAATATCTCCTTATATCTATGCAAATATTCCAAAAATTCAAAAAAATCTCCTCCTAAGCATTTCATATAAAGGATACTCAATCTGTAGTCTATTTTCCCAAGGTAATTTTGATTTTTTAAAGAAATATCAAACTCCCCCAAAAAAGAAATAATAAAAAGTGCAAGTGATATCTTTATGCTGTTTCAGAGAAAAAAAAGGAAAACGATTTGAGAAAGTTGGGAACTGATAATATTAGATAGGAAATGGGCTGAGTCACTCTTAGAAAATCTCCCTAGTTTAGAGATTGAACTTGGCCTCCCAAATGGAGAAGTGTGTGTCTGGGGTTGAGGGAGGGTGGGGAATGCTGGAGAAACTGAGCTCCTGGAATATTAATGTGACTTGGCCTAACCTTGTGCTGCCTATGCCCTGGGCTGTTGAGACAAGGGCCCCAGCTGCAGAGCTCAGGAGTCTCTCTTGGTTGTGGTTTGGCAGTTTGGAGGGCCAGGATCAAATTACCCTGAGGGGAGCCTAGGAATTGTTTATGGGCCAAGTCTTAGCCAGGGAAATTCAGAATGAAATGGCCGATGGTTCCCCCAAAGCACAGAAGTATTTGGCAGGGACAGCGTTGGGAGGGACGGGGAGTGCAAGTGAGGAAAAGGGCAAGAGGGTGAAATGAAATCTACGGAAACATTCTTGGCCAGCGGCTGGAGGTGGAAATTTCTCGTCTGCCTGTGTGGTAGGTCTGCCCCTGACCTATATTCCCCTTAAAGGGCACATCTTTTTCTGACTGGGTTCTATTTTAAGAATGTGTCAATTATTAAAAAATATAACCTGTGCCAATAATTGCCCCTAAAGACTTTGGACAAGGGAGATAGTAAGGGAACAAACTAAAAATAGTATAAATGTCTTTCGAAAGTAAACTCCCAACAAGAACTTCCCATTTTCTTCCCCACATGGTCCCGTATAAACTGTGTCTCCTCCAAGCAGGAAAGTCAGGGCTCTGGGGAGCCCCAGGTAGGAGCTCTGGGAAAGGAGCTCCTTTCACTCTTTTTGGTCCGTGGGGCTGCTTTTAGTAAACTCAGAAAAGGAGAGGAGAAAGTTCTCATCCCTGCCACCCTTTAAAAAAAATCACTATGTTTTCCTGTGGGTGAGGTTTGTGTTAGGTACAGGCAAAATGGACAAGCTTTTTAATTCAGTTTCCTTCCTTCCACCTTTTAGGGCTTCCTGGAGATCTATTTTAGGCCAATTGCACAACCGCTCTGCATGGGTGAAGAATAAATCCATCCTATCACAATGTTGTTGCTCACCAGATTAAAGTCGTGTTTTGCCTATCAATCTTATAAAATCCTCCTTTGAATGAATGTTAAATATTGCCATTGCAGGTTTTAAAAGTAATAACCAGGGCTCAATGTCACAGACTACTTGGTTATGCAGTCAGTTGGGCTCAGGCTGACTTTGGTTTTGAGACATGAATAGTCTGTTATGTCAGGCCTGAGAAACTTGGCTTTGGAGTCTGACCACCGAGGCCTTAGGGTCCAAACTAAGCTGACATCTTGAACCCAAACGTGGAAAAAGCACAATTTGAAAACACTTAACTTTTTTGTCTAATCTCTTTGTCCTTGGTGGAAATGATACTTGTGTGTGCTACACCCTTATTAAATCTCTCACTCTGTGACTTGAACCTGTGGCTCAGGCAAGGAGGCAGAAAGCATGCTGCTGATTACACCTCCTCCCATGAGGCCACAAAATGCTTCTCAGAGAGGAGAGACAGCGGCCTTGGAGGACTACCAATGTTGGAATTAGATATTAATCACATTTCTCTGAACACAAATTACTCAAACCCGAGAAGGCCAGCATTCTGCAAAGACAATTTTTGCCTTCTCTATCCATTTCTGAGTGATCTGTATGTGGGAAATCCAGTTTTGAAAGAGTTAATGTAGCCGCAAGTGGGAAGGTGTGGATTCTTCTCAAATTTGGACAGCAAGTACGGGATAAGGGAGGAATCTCCGGGAGGAGGGAAAGCAAGGGGCAGGGAGAGGAAGCCCAAGGCATGCCTTACGTCCTTGACCTCTTGCTATGCCATGAAACTTGAGCAAACCCCCAGTGCCATGGAACTGGAGCGAAACCCCAATGTTTTGGTCTTAAGCATCCCACAGTTTACACAACTCCAACCTGGGAGGAACTTGGGTTTCTGAATCTATAATTAGTGGTTTAGGATTTATTTTCTTAGTTAAAAAAAGAGAAGTGACTATGGGAATGACTACTCCATTGTTAACTCTAAGCCCCACCATATCAAGAATTCAACGCAAAGCTCAGAAGACCCTTTTAGTAATTCTGTGGTTCAGAAAGGGTACCAATGCCCAAACCATAATAAGAACAACAACTTGAACATGCCCCGTCTATGAAAGCAAATGTTAGGTTCCAAGCAGCAGCTGCATGTTAGAGTCATGCGTAAGTTGCTTTTTCATTCATCTTTCCTGCATGGAACATATGTTCCACATTCCAACTTCAAGGGCTTCGCTGCACAAGTCAGTGAACTGTTCAATTCACTGGTGCATCAGTTGCATTTCAATTAGTGGTGAGTACTGGCAGCATGCAGTTTAGGCTAGTAATTAATGCAATCCCAGGAATACAAGACAACTTACTCTGCGTCATCAGACACAGGAGTTCTCGCACCGTATCTACAAGACCAAATACAAAGTTAGAGAATGGGCAAGACAGAATGTTAACGCTGTAACCAAGCTGGAAATAAAAACTGCTGATGAAATACATGTGCACCAAACCTTTTTTGCTGATCGTACTGAAAGAGAAGCATCGTTATACAATTAGCAATATCCATTAGCTGCTGAAAATCAAAGGGAAGGCTTGATGTTCCGAAAGAATGCAAAATTTGTATTAAAACCCAGAGGAGAAATTAAAATAATCCCCATGCTACCCACAAAGAAAGAATCTGTTCAGTATAAATGCCAAAAGGCTCAGGCACGTATAATCCACAATGTTTGGAGAAGGCAGCTTAAAAAACAAACACACACATATTATGGTCATTCGCAAACAGTTCAGCTGCTCGGGCCTCCGTGTTCAGTAGTAAGGGACTGTAATGGACGCCCAACATACTTCCACCCTTTCTGACCCTGTCCCTGGTGTTAATGCCTTTGCACAAATGGCATCAAAGAATGTTTCTGCAGTTTTCTGAAAGCAAACCAGAGCTGCAACCAGGACCCCAATCAGTGCCTTCCGCACGTGTTTGACAGAAACCACAGTTCCTAGAAAACTGATGGCCTTAATCAAAACCACACTTGGGTGATATTCCACCACTTGAAAAGCCAAAGCTTTTCCGGATGTTTTATATTCTTCTGATTATTTACACCTATAAATTGTATCCTCTGTGATAGTCATTTTAAGTCTAAATGTATCTGATAAAGCAAGAAAAAAGGTCAAATTAGAAAAAAATTAGAATACTACAAGGGCATATTTTAAGAACACTTTTTTTACAAAGCAGCTCCCCCAGATGACTGTCTCTTTAGCAATGGTGAATTTTAAGGCAGAGTTCTTACCTATACTCTGAAAGGCTGTTCATTTCTGCATTCTGATGGTGGACAAGGAATTATTTCATTAAAGAAAACATATTCTGTTTCCAGTCTCCAATAAACTACATTTTGGGGTTGTCAGCAAAAATTACCTGGTCCCATGCTCAGTTTCATAACAGTTTATGGGGAAGAGAGTAATTTCTAAAAATCTCTTCCTGTAATCTTAGTACCCCAGAATGTGTGGCTAGACAGACACATACACCCTTCTCTTTTATGTTTTCATCCTTCTAGAACAGTCTGCATTGATGGATAATTATTTAATCCACAGTGAAGGCAGCTATACCAGTGCAAACCCCAAATCTCTGTAGAAATTTTGGAAGGAAGACATGGGAAGGGTTCATGAATGTTTTTCTTCTGGCAGGTAAGACTCGCTGTTTCTCCAGAGGGTGGTTTCAGAAGGTGTGAAAATTCAACCTCAGTTTTCCCAAAGCACCACTACATTGAAGCATATGAGGGGTACGAGACCAGCATTAACCCTGAAGACTGGGCAAATGTTTCCCGGTTAATAAAAAGATCTATTGGGGTGGATTTATTAAAATACAGTGTGTTCTAAATTATCTAAGGAAGTAGATAACTTTTAGGAATAACACAGATAAGTTATTCCTAAAAGATGGTGAGTCAAGAGTCTATTAATAGTTGTTATGGGTTTTTGAATCTCTCTCTGAATACCTGAATTGACATTTTATCGAAGTATAACATACACACCAAATGCACACACTACACATACATCTTAATGGATTTCCTTGCACTGCACACACCCACAGATTAGTACTAACTATTTTTGTACTATGCTATCGGGCTCGTAGTGTACATACTCTTGAGTTTGTCCTTAGTGCACCAGTTTGTTGAGGTCTAGCCATGCTATTGCACGTAGGATATATTTGAATTTAAATTGCTTTTGTACAAAGTAATTAACAGCATCTGTTACCAACATACCTGCCAACAAATGTAGGTTCACACCAAATCGTGAGGCACATGGGGGCAGGGATTTTTCTGTTTGTGCCCCTAAACAGTGACCAGACTAGGCCCTGAATAAATATTTATTAAATGCTTATTGATGCTCAGGAAATTGAAAAGAAAAGAACAGCACAGTCTCTGAAGTCGACCTTCATTTATCCCTTTACTGTGCACTTGTGGATTTAAAGAATTTCCTTTCAGATTAATTTATTAGCTTTAAAAGGGCACCAACTTAAGCAGAATTGCCTTTGTTGGCAAAGCAAGATAATTAGAGCTTAGGTTTTAAGGGGTTTTCCCAGTTGTCCAACAGGAGACCAAAAAGTAAAGTTACAGCCCCCTCCCCCCCGCCAAAAAAACCCTCAATATATCTTTTGATGCAAAGTAGGTGAGTCAATAAACTACCAGGTACATAGTTGCCCAAATAGATTGCAGTTGGCATAAGCCTCCTACCAAACAAAAAAAGGTTAATTAATAACATTTAATTTTGAGGACAGGGATATTTAAATAAAGGGCATATTCTGTATACCTGTTGATTACATATATGTAATTTTCAGCACTTAATAAAGCACTTCATAATCAATAATTTTCTGGTTGTTTATTTCTATATTGTGAATTAGCGTTAGCTTAATTTGAAGTGAGAGAAAAAATGGTTCTACTGCTCATCTAGGACGAACCCCCAGCACCCAGCACAGTGTTTTATACATAGTAATTATTCAATAAACACTTGTTGCAAAGAAACACGAATTCCCAAGTGTATGCTGGCTTGTCACACGATTATGTCACAGTTTATCTGACTTGTGCGCAGAGTGACCATTCATCCCTTCTTGAAAATAAGGAGGACCCTTTCTGAATTCCAAACATAATGGTGGAGACAGAAGTGACGGATACATCAGCTTCAACTGTCTCCCTTAGAAACGTTGTCTCCCTTGGCAACACGCTGGAGTGAGGTGGTGGCTTCTCACTCAGACAGACCTGGGTTTGAATCTTGGCTCAGTAATTACCAGCATGGGGTAATTTTCCTAATTGCTAAATGCAGATGAAAATCCTCACTCTCAAAGGTAGTGTAAGGAGGAATGAACGAGAAAGCACTGAGAATGAATGAATGAATGTGTCTATCTATCTGTTTATCTAGGTGCAGGCCTCACATCCTCCCCTCCTTCTTTTCTGGCTTGCTTTATAGTAGCCCACTGACCCAACACCAGGCACCATGTCCAGGCACCTACAGAGGAGGTGGGTGTGGAGGACCAGGTTGGCCATTCTGTCCTCTGACACTAACCTAGCCCTAACGAGGAATCATGTGTGATCTCTCACTTAACTTTTCTCAACATCAGGCCTCCTATTTGTAAAATGGAACAAATATCCATTCAATACCTCTGAGCTCCCAGGAGCAAGTGAGCTAGAGGGAACAGACGCACTTCACAAAGGCTACAAAGTGCTCCATGGCTGTAGAGTAAACCACGAATACCACCCCTGCTCCCTGAAAACAGTGTCATGATTAAGGCTCCACCGTAAGATTATTATTATTCAGAAGAATATAAACACAGATTAGATCCAGGTAATAAAGATGGCTAGGGTGTTGATTTTAAAATTCTGGAATCACTTACCATTCTTCTTATTCCCCTGTCTGCCCTCAAGCCCACTGCCATCAAGGTCCTTTGAGAAGCAGAAGGCCAACACCCCAACACCTCGTGTTTAGTACTGAACTTGTAACTACGTGAAGCCCTCCTCACTCCTTTACCCGACATTGATCAGGCAGACCACACTCTTAAACAAAAATGTATCCCTGTTATTAAATAGCAAGAGAGGTTTCAGCATTTAGGACCTTATACCAGAACATGAACCCCAGGACTGTTATTTCTGCGCTCTCTTTCAAGTCATGCTTGACTCTAAGTCAAGTCAGGGCCGGAAGAGAAATCCTACCTCTGGAAGGCAAAGAGTTGAAAATTTAAATGAAATTACAAGTTTTATAGGTGATGTTCATCTTGTTTGGACCTGGAATCAGAATGAAATTAAGGAAGGCAGAAAGCAGTTCCACCTCTTTACCCCCAAACTCCTATGTGAGTGAGGAAGAAATAAAGGAATTTCCCATTTGTTCTGCCCACAGTTGAGAGTCGTAAAGGATGTTTAACAGGTCAATTCACCACTAGACTACTCTTTCCACACCTGCTTACATGCAAACAGAAACACAATTCTTGACAATTCTTATTCATTGTTCCTGCAACAGAAATAGCAACTGTGCATTGCTTCCCCGTATTAATAACACTCAAAGCATGGTCAGGCTCAGAAGAGAGAAACCACGTCCTAAGGGCACGAGATAACCTTCTGACCTCTGCTCTTTCCTGGGTAGACCCTTAGTATATTCCTTCATCGTGTTGCTCTGCAAATGGAACCAGAAGGAACTGGTTTGGATTGGATCCAGTGTGTCTAAGAGATGTCCCAGTTCTCTTGGCCATCGTGTCATTTTTTTGTGAATCATACAACTTTCTGTGGTCTTTCAGTCCACTGCTACTCGGGGCAGGAGCTGTCATCTTCTCCGACCTCCCATTCAGAGGCAAGAGGACACACACCATGGCAATATTCAATCCGGGGAGTCAAAGGCCAGTTACTGCTAAAGATAACTGCAGTAGCATCACTCACTGGCGTTAATTCAAGGCAGAGGGAGCTGGCATCCGTGGAGGCAGCAGTGCACCCAGCAGCTGGGCAGGAAACCCCACTTCAATACTGCGAGCCTCTGCCATGCAGCTGGTACTCACACTGGAATGGGCTTCTCTTTCTGGTTTCCGTGATTCCCAAGAATGAAATCTGGCCAGGACCCAAACACATGCAAAGGCTAAATCTCCACCCAGCGCGGGCAGCAGCAGCAGAACTCTGACCCTTAGTGACTTTACTCCACACTACACCATCACCGCGTATGAACTGCGACTCTATGCGATCTTTTGGGAACACAACAGCCACACACAGCAGAGGCAGCACATGGTTCAGGCAAGATGCTCACAGCGGCTGGCTGCTCTCCTCTGAACATTCTGCCTTTGGCAGCATCTCAGAATTTCTTGGGGCGCCTTCGTTTTCTTCTTTGCCATCCTGTGGCAGGTGTTTAGATGTAACTAAAGCCAGAGAGCACAGCTTTACTGCTAGGGAAGGATTCACACACCAGAGGCCCTGTCCTTCTCGGCCTCCCAGAGAGGCAAGAGTCGCTGCTCCTCACCTTTTTCTGCCCTCGTTGGGCTCCCGCCCGCACTGCAGCCCCACTCTTCCTGAGACTCCGGCACAGGAGCCAGCCAGGAGACCCTTCTGCAATAGTCATCTGTGCCAGGATTCGGTCCTCTGTGGGTAACCAAGCAGCATTGATGGCAAGAGAGGGGAACAAGGGTTACAAAAAGGGGGTGCAAAAGCCATTGAGACCGAAAGATTAAGAGGGAAGTTGGCTGCTGTCATTCCAAAGGCCGGTTAGTAAGGATGACACAGTCAGACTGCAATCACGGACTGTGAACTCGGGCAAGCGCCTGAAAACATCAAGAAGGCTGGCGTGACTCTGTCACCGTAGGACTGAGAAATGGTCACTTGGGGTTCAAGGCCTCCAGGACACATTCTTATTCATTCCCTACCTCACCCTCATTCCCAGCTCAGACCCCATCGGCTCTGAACCTCTAACTGTGTGTTCCTGGTGTTGACAGCTTGTCCTCTACGGTGTCACTCACAGTCTAGGGCCAATTGATCCCTTCTATAAGTCACAGGCCATACACTCTGGAGTTCAAGGACAAAATACAGAGAGGGTTATGAACACTTCCTCTGGCCAGGGAGAGGCGGAAGTTCAGTTTGCTCCCACCATATCAGGGGAGTGGAGGTCCCCGGGGCAATCCTGAATTTTATAAATGCCCTGTGTCTGTTTCATGGAAGAGAGAGTAGCCCACAGAAATGAAGCCCCCAAAAAGGGGGGCCTGTGGCCTTCAGGGAGGACAGGAATGCCAGGTGTCCCTTCCCATGTTTGAATGGTTTTTCATCCAAGGAAACTCTTGAATTAACAGAAATCCCCCAAAGGGGAGTCTCTTTTTACTCCAGATTTATCATATAATTTTAAAAAGTAGGGGAAGGAGGAGACCTTTTTTATTTATCTGCTTAGATGTCCAAAATTTGAAGTCATGATACTAGTAACTACTTTTTTCCTCCCTCTGTGAGACAGGAAAGAGGGAAGTTACAGATAAACCGACTTTTATCGGGGTATTTTTAGGAGAAGCACTAGCGGTATCATTAAAGCATTCCATTCAGGTCATTCAGTATTTTCAACTAATAAAACAGTATTTAATGCAGCTGAGGGGGAAGGGCCATTTGCCCAGATTATCAGCATTTCCTCCCAGGCAGTGATTCTGGCGACAACAGAATCAAAATGCACGCGTGCCATGAGCCTGTGCGCACTCCCCGGGGTGGCCACTACCACCGCGTCTCTGTGACACAGCACGGTCTGTTACAGCTCTGTCGCGTCTAGGCAGTTGTCACATGTGCTGCAGCAAACTCCTGAGAAGCAGCAGTGGGTCCCATGCAGGCCTCTGTGCACACGAAGGGCAAGTATACCTGTGGCCATGTTGTGCGTTGAGCACGTGGTCTTCCTTTGAGCTGGAGGCCACCGAGACAGGAGACCCAGAGTCCATCTGAACCTGGCTGCCGTGACCGACGGTGTCTCCCTCTTCCCTCGGCCCAGGCTTGCCAATGCTGAGTCGCTGCCACGTCTGCTGGTCTATCTCTGTCACTGGCCCAAAGTGCACAAACTTTTGCTTGGGGCTGGATGCTTTCTGATAAGCCCTTGCTTTGCGGCTGGCAAAGTCATCTCGGAGGGCAGTTTCCGCTTTAATTTCTGGTGAAGGCTCGGGGGCACAGATGGGCTGAACATCTCCATCCCTAGTCAGAACCAGACATAAGTCCCAAAGATTTCTAAGGCAAGTACAAATAAATAAAAGGGTTTTTTTTTTTTTAAAAAATACCAAAACCCCAAAACTAAAGACCCTATCTATGGTTTTAGCATCCATGTAAGGATTCGACCAAACTCAGATTAAAAAATATGTATGTTTGGGGCAAAAATGTTCTGCTAAGTTTCAAAAAGCAAAACCTGAGTTTGCCTCATGCTAAGTATGATGTCAAATCCAAGGCAATGAAGTGATGTGCAGGCACTGTGTTAGGCGTAAGTAATCGAGAGAGGATTTAAAGCTGACGGGAGGATGTGCGTGGGTTATATGCAAACACTACACCATTTGATATAAAGGACATAAGCATCTGAGAATTTTGGTATCAAGGGATTGCTAGAACCAATCGCTCATGGATACCGAGGGACAAGTATATATATATATAAGAAATATTTCCCTGGGAGAACTGCGTCTCCATTAACCAATCAAAAGAAGAAACGATCATTGTCTTACCTACAAATGATCATTCCCTTGTCTTCAATTTTCCCTAGCTTTCAATACTTGATTTTTTAAAAATTTCATACCTGTAACACTATACCTACAATTTTCTTAAGCCATCATTTATTTTTATTTTTATTTTTATTTTTGAGATGGAGTCTCACTATATCGCTGTTGGTAGAATGCTGTGGCATCACAGCTCACAGCAACTTCAAATTCTTGGGCTTAAGTGATTCTCTTGCCTCAGCCTCCCAAGTAGCTGGGATTACAGGTGCCCACCACAATGCCTGGCTATTTTTTTGTTGTAGTTGTCACTGTTGTTTAGCTGACCCTGGATGGGCTCAAACCCACCAGCCCTGGGGTATGTGGCTGGTGCCCTAACCACTGAGCTACAGGCGCCAAGCCAATGCCATCATTTATGATGGAATGGTTAAAAATTTTTTAAAAAATGAAGTTTAAATTCCTTGAAGCCAAGAAAAATAAATAACCATTCATCATAAATCATAAATACCCATCCATCTGTTTATGTGGCTTGTAACTTTTACTACCAGTAACTTCATCTCATCCCGAAGAGGCTGATCTCCAGAAGCTCTGTGATTTCACAGGCACTTTTCCCCCAGCCATTAAAATAAAAAATGATGCAAGGATAAGCATTTGGTTCTTTCAAAGTTAACTAATACAACTGCCAGGGGAAAGCCGGGGGAAACGGGACACACCTCGTCTTTCCTGACACCTTCAGTCTCTCCCACGTCTCGAGGTCGGATTCTGTCATACTGGCGAGTGTGACAAAGCTCAGAGGTTCTCGGAGAGGGGCCGCTCTGCCCCGAATCCTCCGCTGGGCCAGGTCATCCTTGTGAAGGTCCGGCACCTTCCTGAGTCCCTCTTCCATAGGGTCACTCTCCTGGGCCCTGGTCATACAGGTCACTATTGCCTTTGCCTCTTCCGTTTGGCCCTGGTTGCTGTCAATTTGATCCAAGTCCCACAAAATCACAAAGATCAGGGTCAAAGAAGGGGAGCAGACAATCAGAAGGTCAAGCATGGAAACTCAGAGGCTGAGGACAGAACACAGTGATGGGAGCACGGCTCCCCTTCTCAAAAACATGGCCTTGCAGGAGTGGTGGCTCCCTTGGTCTATGCTACCTGTTTAACACTGTAATGCGACAGTCTTTCCCACCAGAGGATACTCTCTAGTTTAGTTTAGGAAGAGGAGCCAGAGCTCGCTGAAAGACTATTAAGAATGGTAATGAGATTTCGGTTTGGCGGTAATGATGCCCAATTCCCACACTATTCAAGTTACTGTAATGAATTCAGGTTTGCTGATTGAATCCCTCAGCCCTCTTGGAATGTTTTTTACTGCACCCGTAAAATGTCAGTAATGAGCACTGCACGATCCAAATTCTAGGATTAGTTTGGAGATAGCTGGAACGTTGCTCACATATTAAACATCTCAGGCCCAAACCCACAACTGCCAAAAAGCGCATTAAAGGCAGTTCTGAACAGAGTGTTTCAACACTCAAACTCGATTTCAGCTGCATAGCATTAGGTAGGTGAGACTAGTGCAAAACTTGAAGAATAGAGTATTCTTCTTTACCTGGATTTACAGAATTGATACCCATTTGTTTTTTGTGTTAAGAACCATTCACCTTTATTGATGCTGAAACTGGTATTTTCAGTGTCTCTCCTCAGAAGTGACTAGCAGCTGGCTAATGTTGCCAAAGCTGTAGCCTGTATATGCATAAGTGTTATACCACATTAAAAGGCCATTTCCAACTAAATGTGCTTCTTGAGATAGAAAAATCTCAAAAATATAAATCAATAGAGCCTATTGTATTTTTTTTCCCCAAAATATACATCCAAGTGACAAAACTAAGAAGTATTCTTTCATTACCTGGATGACTGGGGTACTTTCTGGGTCTGTGCAAATAGAAAGGCCATAGAATTTTCTATTTACTTTCGGTTTGAGAAAAGGGGCTCATGGAAGTACACAGCAAAGAGCCTTTTCTCTTTTTTCTCTTTTAAAGATCAGTTCTTTGCCGCTGTCTACAGAGGTTGTGTGGGCTGCATCTGGACCAGCGCTGTCCCCAAACACAGAGTCAGGTGACAACAGACAAATGCAGCTAGAAATATTAGGAATTAAAATTGCATGGGGGGAAAGGAAAGTCAAAGAGATACAAAGGCTACTCCTTTGTCTAACTCAAATTGCCGAGAGCCATCACTGGGCCTTGATATTAGTCAGTTATCGAAAAGTCTTTGTTTCACTTGAACAACTGACCCCTCCCACAAGCTGCTCTACGAGGAGTTTGCTACCAGCCAGGCCAACAAGGACTGCAAAGCCCCAGAGGCTCCTGAAACATAATATGTTCTGTGAAAAACAGGTGCCAGGTTCTATGTTCAGGAATCTTCCATGGCTTTTGTATCTGATACTTCCCCCCAAAATCCAAAACATTAACTGCTCCACTGAGCTCCATAACTCTGTCCAAAGAACCATTTTAATTGTGTAAAGAAGCTGAGACAATTCTTATATATATAAATTTTTAGTTTATCAGGTTTAAAAATCTCTAAAGTGATGGGCAAAGTAATGGCAATTTAATAACGAAGATGTTAAACTTTAAACGATTTTGATACGAAGAAAAATACAAGAACGATAAACTCTGAAGGATAAAATTCTGCAAATAGACACCTTCAATGAAATCTTGTCCCTTTTAGGACAAAAAAAGAAAAAAATCACTGGCCAAAATCTCATCTTTCTAAGTCTTCCTTTCCCCAATTCACTCCCGCATGTATCCAGAGGACGAGAGAAAGTTAGGAGAAGGAAACTCACTTGAAACAATGTGCATATTTGACGGGAAATACCCACCAGCGTGGGTGCAGGGGACGTCGCTGGTGTTGAGTGTGAGGAAGGGAGGAGCAAGTCTCATTTTCTCCCTTCCTACATCTCAAAGGAGCTAATAAGAAGGAAGTGCTAATAGCTCCGCTCGCCTTTCTTTGAGCGGACCTGGACCGGAGCAGCCTTGAGAGCTGGCTGTTCCTTGACAGGCAGTGAGCGGTACGAGTCTATTTACACCAACGATGCTGACACCCATATGTGGCGATGGGCCCTGATTCAGCAGATCGATACTCTCAAATTCAATGTTTATTTAGCAAATTCAGCCTTATTTGGGACTTGGCCACTCTATTGTCTGTCCGCCATCTGTATCTAGGAGTAACTGAGTACTTGGAGTTCTACTTCTAAATAACCCCCATTACCAAGTGCGTGTAATTGGGGCTGCGGAATTGGAAGGGGGGCTATGATGTAAATCACCCTCCTTAATGGTGCTCTCTGGCCCTCTTTCACACACACACACACACACTCCGTGCACACCTTCTGTATTTTAGACTTCTCTTTTCCGAGATTCCCCTTGAGAGCTGTTTGCTGCCACCTGATTTTTCTGTGTCCTTCCTCCGGTAAGGCCCGTAGAGGAGCTGATTCAGTGGCACCACCGGCCTGCTCTGGTTCATCCTCGCTCTCCGTGCTGCAAAGTCGTCCTTCTCAGGATCAGGCACTCGCCGGGCAACTTCGTCATCGGACTCTGAATCTTTGCCATCTTGGTCGGTCAGGGAAGGATTTTCTTTGCGAAGGATAACGTCACAAATAGCTTCTTTCTCTTCACTTAATTGTTTTTGACTGATAGAGCAAAATTAAACGGAACTCCACATGTGATCAGACCCCACCCCAAATTCTAAATCCCCATCTCCAGACAGGCAAGGTAGTTGTTAGTGAGACGTCTTCTCCATACTGTTAAGTTCAAATGACATCTGTTTATTATTCGAGTCTAAGGTTGCAGCAGAGTTAGGGTGGGTTTTAAATGCCGAATTTAGCCAGACACTAGCAATACTAAAAATTCATTTAATTTGCAGGGCTCTGTCAGTATCAGAAAGGCAGGATCCTAAATGGCTCTGAATGTGACAATTTAGAATCTTTGTATATAACTGGGGAAAAAGTAGAAAGCTTCGGGTTGCTGTTTGTTTCCCTTTAGTGCATTAGCAGATACTCGATTTGTTTTTGACTGACGGGGCAAAAACTTTAGCTACTACAGAACGGATCTGGGGGGAAATGGATGAACGCAGCTCTGTGACAGAATTCCCAGAATGAGCGACGGATTGAGACGTGAAGGAAGGTCTTTGTGCAGAGCTGAGCTAACCTGGAACATCTGGAGTCACCTCAGACCATCCTCTCCCACTCCTGGGGGCTTCCAATCACAGGAGGCGTCTCTACCCTGCACGCTCCGACCAGCAATCCTGTCTTCCCTCTTCTACCCCGTGACTCACACCTCCCGACTCTTCTTTAGCAGTGCTGGGTGTCTAGGAAATGGTAAGAGGTTTTGACAAAATGGCTTGAAAAGGATGACTATGGACTAGTCCCACAGCAATCAAGGGGGTCTCAAAGGCCCCTTGGAAACTTAGGAACGTTAAACTTCTGAGGCATGCTGTTTAATGGTGGACTATCAGGCAGTGAGTCTTAGGCCTTTTCCCACTTTCCTGTGTTTGCTTTCATTGGAGAGTGAGGGGAGGATACAGGGGATTGGGCCTAGGTGGCATTCAAACAAAACCCCCACCCTCCACTCCCCAGAAGACCAAGCTTGCTTCTCAGTCATAATAAAATATGAAAAAGCCTTTTTTCATCATTTATTTTCATTTCAGTTCATAAAGATAATAGGAAAGACTTGACTTCTAACGAAGTTCACTGACTTTTTATCAGCTTTGTGAGAGAGGATGAAGAGTAAGTTCTTCATCCTCAAAGGGCAAATTCATCTCAGAGATGAAGACAGGAGGAATTAGCCCGGCCAAGAGCAGAAGAAGCAGTGAAACTCTGGGTGTTCTGTTCACCCAGGTGGCCCACTGCTCCTGTGCCCTACACTGCTCCAGGAGGTCACCGTCTGGAGGGTGCAGCAGGCTCTCACTCCATCTGACTTTGCAACATCAAAGCACTATTGATCACGCTCAGAAAACCTCTTCTCATGGCTAACCATGGTTCTCAATACAATTTGAAAATGCAGAATTTGGGGTAGGGAGTGGGATGTTTTGCTCCCTGAATAAACTTACTTCTGAAAATATGAAATTCTGCCCTTTGAGTTGTACACCCTGGTTCCTGGCTGGCCCCTCTCTGTACTGTGCTCACTGTCTTCCCACCTACCTCCTTAGCCAGCATGCCCAGCAAGGACCAACTGGCCAAAAGTCAGTAGAAAATAACAGGCCATTGAACTCACCTCTTCAAAGGCATTACGTAAAAACATACTGATGGTGCAGTTAATGGGGCTAACAGCCAGGTGCATGCTATGTGCTAGAATTCTTCCTAAGTGTTCATTCGTTCAGCTCTAACACTAACCCTATAAGGTTGGTGTTTCCATCATCCCCATTTTATAGAGTGGAAACTGAGATGAGGTTAAGAAACTTGTCCCAGGTCAAAGAGCTAGCACTTAAGTTAGTATTCAAACCAGGCAGTCTGGCTCCAGGAGCCCTGTTCTATGATAATGAATACAACACTGTACTATTCATAAAATAAAGGACCGTGCCAGGAACAGTTTTGAAAGTACAGCATCATACAAAAAAATGGGGTATTATCATTACTATAGAAGCGGGAGAAAGAGAAGAAACTGGGTTACTAAATAGAAATCCTGAGAGATATGTTAAGGATGGAGTTGGGATGTTCATTTCTCGTTATAGACGGTGACAGTCAGCCAGGATTGACCGCAGCAAAATGCTAACTAATCACGTCTTACCATGTCGCCACTACACTTTGTAGTTTACAAAGCTCTTTCAAACTCATGTCCCAATGTAGCAGCATGTACCCCAAATACTCTCATAGTCTGCTGTGAACCTCTTAAGTCTGAGAGCAGTGTGCTTTCCACTTTTTGAGTAGGGGTCTTGGGCTTCAACCTCCCCCAACTCAGGCAGAATTCTTGGCAATAAAAAAAAAAACACACATTTATGCAAATAGTCCTGCCAATCTGTGATGCCAATTTGAGCAGGGAGAATCTGGTGCCTTATGTGTTATGTGAACCCAGCCAGGTTACAAATTCCCTTGGGTGTTTCTTTTTAGGCTACGTGCCCAGTGTGGCAGGACTCATTTCAAGTGGCAGGAAATCTCAATTTAGGTATGTGTGCTTTAAAAAAGGGGGGTGAAGAAAGTTTCCTTATCACTGGCCACTTGAAGATACTCCCTGCCCACTTACAAAACTCTCACAATGTCTGATTTTCCACTAATCTCTTATAAATTCAGAGATTCAAGGTAGACTCAGAGACAGGAAAAAATAACGATACAAGTTCTGAGTTGGCATTGTTGGACATGAAATTAGAAATAATATGTATAAGACAGACCTGTAAGATTGTACTCACAGGTGTCTAGTTACAAAAAAATTTAAATGACTTTTATCATATACTTATTTTTTTTTCACACCTCTTTAAGGCCCTTAAAGACAGTCTATCATGAAGCTTTGGTGTATTTTATTTTTCAAAAACTGCAACTCTCTGACTAACTAGTACATTCCAGATGTCCTTACTTTCATGACAGCTCTGCAAGATAGGAATTATTGTGTCCATTTTGCAGAGGAGAATATAAAGGTCATTAGCTTGAGTCATCTAAATTTGGGTAAAATAATTTAAGTAAATTGAGGGCAGGGTCAGGCTGTCTGGCCTCACATTCCTGGGGGGTTTGCCACTGTTATTTCTGTCAAGTCATTCACAGCTGAGCTGCTTTGGGAAGAAGGGGCTCCTGGCGCAGGGTCACAGCCCACTGCTTCACTTGGAAGGGCTATAGTCCCACAGTCGGAGGCAAAGCAAGACAAGGGAGCCCTGCCTCCCACCCGCAGTCCTGTCCAGGCTCACCTAACGCGAGTGAGGCTATCTTGGGAGGACACATTATGAGCCTACAGTAGGTGCGGGGGAAGAAAAAGCTCTTGTCTCAAAGTTTCTAAGGCTTATATATTTCAAAGTGAACAAGATAGTGGAGTAAACCAAGGAAGAACTGGTATATTCTTTCACCTGCTTTTACTTGGCAATGCAAAATCAACCAGCTCAGATTGACAGTTTGTTCTACTGAAAGGAGCTGGGCTCTCCAGAAAAACCTGTTAGTCCTCCCGGGAATATCACGGGCAACACAAGAAACCTCCCTGTTCACCCCATCTCCGAATAAGGCAGCTACAGGCAGAGGCACAGAGGCTTGTGCCAGGTGGTGCCTGACTGCTCCTCGGTACCCGAGGTTGTGTGCAGTGGTGATCAGGATAGACCAGCGAGCGGGGAGAGATGGGGAAGAATCTGGCACTTACTGCATTTGTTCTTCCTCTACAGATTTCTAAAATGTCTATTGTTCCTTGGAGACTTTCCCCCCTCTGTAATTAATTACTATGTGATCGAGAAGATCCACAGACCAGCTGAAAGCAAGGAGTGCTGGGACATGTGAAAACAATTAGAAAAGAAGCACAATCACGTGGAACCTATAATTCAGTTCAAAAAAAAGTTTACTTCTCCAATGGGAACACCGAGTAAGGGAACGCAAATCTCCACGGCATTTTAATTCGGGGGAAGTGAATCTTGGTTCTTATTTTATCCTAAAAACAGAAATCGTGCTTCTTTGGCAGAATCTTAGATTTGGGGGA